CAGGAATGGTCTTTTGTAAGCTGTGACCTTCCATGAATTGTCATCAAAAGCCTGTGTTATCTGCAGAAGTCTTCTGCACTTTTAGATAGGATGGCACATGGCAGGCTATGCTGCATTTATATGGTTGATGTAGCCTTCAAGAGGAGAATAACTAGAAATGCAAAGCACTGAGAATGTTGACATTGGTATGGTGGTATTTGTTGGAGATGGATGTGTTTAAAATAATTTCCTTCTCCTGCACAATGTTTGTTCATTCCATCCCTAGCCGTAAAGGAGTGTTTAAACTGTGTGGCATATGAATAGGTTAAAAAATAGAAGGTCACTATCTGTTTATTAGTCAGAGCAATGCATACTATAAGAGGAACTATTCTTTAAAGTTACAGCTCTTTCTCCCCCTGCCTGATTCAGCATCATCTCATTCATAATGCAGATGTCATAAGGTAGGGAATAGTGAGCTTACCTTTGGGTTAATAATTGGAAAAAAGCTTTTTGTATGATTTTTGTGTCTTAGAATTTTTAACTAGTAACACACTGTATGCAATCAAATTTTTTACTAGCAGAGTTCAAGTAGTTCTCTAAAGTGGCCTTTTGTTGAATGTGTTTTTAACTTAAAATGTTTTTCATGTCTGATACCACTGGCAATTGCAAAGCAAAATGCAGACCACTTTAAAATAAATCTAATCTGCACTCTTAGTTTATGCTAATTAACTCCTTTTCCCCTCCTTCCTATTTTTAAGAATAAGGAGAATAGAGGAGGAGAAGGCAGGAGGGAGCTATGACTTACTTTTGCAGCCATTTCAGACTGATAGAAGCTAGCACTGCTGAATGGTTTTCTCCTTGCAGGCTCCTTTTATGCCAATACAAGCATCTGTGCAACAACTGCTCCAGGTTTAAAAAAGAAATTTTTTTTTTTTTTTGCAAGTTTACTATTAACTCAGGTCAGTTCTCCTGTCTAGCTCAATTGTGCAGCTGTTTGAGTGCTTATGCCAGCACAAAAGAAGCAGTGACAGGAAGATGGGTCTGCTTCCTTCAGCATCAGTGTCAGCTTAAAATGACCACAAAACTGCAGTCTAAGTACGCAGCATAAATGGCAATTACCTGTAGAAATAAAACTGTCCCTTCCATCATGTGTATTGTCTAACAGATCAGCATATGTCACTTTGGGAAGGGATTTTTACTACCTCAGCAGTAGGAGTCCCTTTTGCCACTGTAATATACATCTGAGAGAGAAGGTTATCCAAGACAGCTTTATCCAGGCAGGCCTACTGCAAATTAACATAAAGCAAGTGATGGCAGAGACCTACTGTTGCACTGTTCTACTGAAAAATATGTACTAATATAAATGGACTGTTTAAACAGATTTCATTGTTAGTTGAAATAGTTCATCATCTGATTTTAAACCAGTTCCAATCTTATTAGTACCACGTAGTGCTTAAGCTTGCCATCATAGCAGGAGTAAAAGCATATTCGTTGAGTCTAAGAGTCAGCTTAGTCTGTCAAATGCTTTTATGTGACTATTGTGTTAGAAAGCTCACCACAGGCCTAGGGAACAGAGTATGTCCTGTAAGGAGCCTGGCATGTTACAAAACTGATGTGCAGGATTCTGGGACGTTTGTTTCACCCACCAATGTCAGGTATATCAGTCCCTCCAAAAGCAAGAAGAACTAGCAAGAACACAGTGCTGTCGATCTTTTAGCACCTTGCATCGGTTTTTAGAGCATAAGGGCTCGTCTGTGTGGGAAAGACAATTTAGATCACACGTGAATTAGAAGTAGAATATTTAATCTAAATTAATTCACACACAGGAAATAAGAAGTAGCTGTTTCAGATTAACTCCATGTTTAAACAAGTCTGAGAAAGACTTTAAGTGGGAGGGAGAGGAGCAGATTGTGTCCAGCTCTGAGAGGTAGTTCACGGCAGAGGGACAGAGCCATCATCTTCACCCCCATATACTTTGCTATGTAAATTATATGCCAAATTCTGCAATTACAAACACTGAAGCAACATGCCTCCATGTGAGTCACTTTTTTAGGTACGTGCTGCTCTAGTGATCATGATGCATGATCAACAGAAGTCAGCTGTACAACTGCAGTGTAAGACCAGGGAGTTTTCAAAAATGAGAGGTTTTCTTTGACCCCATCACAGGTCAAAACACTGCAGCTGTTTGCCAGTTCTCCCTGCCGGAGGTTACTATCCTCCCAGCTCTGCAGTTTGGAGGATTGTGTTTAATTGCTTTCAGGCTAAGTCAGCCAGGTTATCTTAAATCACCTTCTTTTGCTGTTTGAGCTGACCCAAGTGACTCAGTCTGAAACAGATTAGAAATTACTCATGTGACTTCTTCATTCCCCTTCTGTTAAGGGAAATTCTTCTATCAAGAGTGGTACCCACAGTTGTTTTCAGCTGGTGATGGCAATGCTTTGAATATTCATTGCTGCTGACCAAAAGAAGGGGTCTGTACATGACCTTCCAAACCATGCCCTTGAATCAGCCTTTGAAATCAGCCTGTTGAAAACTGTTAATTTGCACCATGAGAAAAATAATAGCAAATGAGAAATAATTAAATTCTGTGGCTGAATAGTTTAGTTTCTTTTCATCCATGCTGCACGGATGAAGTAAAGATTTAGAAAGCAGTAAGACAGGGTGGTTTGGGGGAGGGAACCCACGTTTACAGTAGTGATCACTCCTGTCTGCGTATGTTGCTTTACAGTACAAATGATCTGTGTGTTTTACTGTATGCTTTAAGTTGGTCTGAATATTTTCCTTCAGAAACCATGCCCTCTATGTGATGAAGCAAAAGAAGTGCTTGAGCCATATAAGAGAAGGGTAATGTATGGCAATACTGTATACATTTTCTATATAGAAAGAACAGTTAATCAGGATTCTTTCTTTATAAAAGAAAATTGCTTGGATTTATTTGCATCCACTATTCTTTCATGGGTGACCTCTTGAAGACAGTTTCAGCACTGATTTCCATAAAACTCATTATCCAAAAGCATTTTGTGACAATGCTACTCAAATAAATATTGGCAAACTAAACCAATATACCCCTTGTTGCAATAGTTTTTAAAACCGCTGCTTTTGTAAATACTATTGCCATGTCTGATAGAGGAGTTTGCAACTTTTATGGGGCAGGTAATGATACCATTTGGGAAGGATGTTAGTAAGTGGGGCTTCAAATATTTGAACTGTATGTGATTGCAATTTTTGCCATTCTTTAACCAGGTTTTGATCTCTTTCTTGATGGAAGAAACTGTTAGCAGAAGCATTAAGATGTGTTGCACTCTGCTGCCTAACAGGCATCTGTTGTGTTGCCAGCTGCATATCTGTTGTGGCTGGTGCTCACAGGAGAGTGGTTCTGCACAGAGGATCAAGAATATTGTCCTGGACTAGGGAGAGAGACCTTTGTGGACACACAGCCAAGGATTGTGGCTACATACGTTTTGTACCCACAAAATGGGCAATTGTCTACAACATGGAAGAATAAATCTGAAAGCACCAAGAAAACACCCTTGCATTTCTGAAAAAAATATCATCAAAGACAAGCAGGTATTGTTTTTCAGTGTCCAGTAGGTACTAACATATTTCTTTTCTGTCACAGTTTATTTTGCAGGAGGTGGATATTACCCTTCCAGAGAACTCAGCGTGGTATGATAAATACAGATATGATATACCTGTTTTTCATTTAAATGGGAAATTCCTAATGAAGCATCAAGTAGACATTCAAAAGTTTGAGGACCAGCTTATGAAGCTGGAGTTGGAAAATGATGGAAATCAGTGAAGAAAATGCAGCTGCTCTGGTGTGGATCTGAAAGGACTGTGCAACATAAATTGTGTGAAAAAACAGTATTCGTTATCGGGCCTTATGTTTCTTAGAACCTGTGGTACCAGTGCCCTAAAAAACTTGAGTTGACTTGTATTCTATGTTGTATTAATCATCCAGCCCAGCTGCATCAGTACCAACCTTTAATGTACCATTCATCTGCTGCTATCCTAGGCTGGCTTTTCATTGATAGAATAAATGCTGCTCCGTAACAGCAGATAAAGTGAAACGTGTTTCAAGATTCTTAGTACGTCTAAGCTGTAGGTTTGTAAGAGACTTCCTTGAAGAAGTCTAGGAGTCTATCTAAGTGCTCATTTGAAATGGATAAGAGGGCATTTACTGTAAATGAAGAGGTCCCTTGATTAAAAACATCACACTTGCTGAAGCAGAGTCGTATCTATAGAACAGTCATCACAATTTGATACAGCTGTTACTAATGCATGAACACTAAATAGTTCATTTTTCTTCTAATGAGATGAACATACGTTGCGCTTCAGTCTATTTTATCTACTACAGCAAGCTTTGAGCTCCTTAGTACTTGAGCTACTCCCAGTCACAAGAAAAAATAAAAAGAGTGAACTATAATTGAGCCAAAAGAACCAAATCTGTAATGAAAGCAGCATTTATTAACTCCAAACATGTCTCTCTGAATGCTACTTATTTCAGAGTATAAAATGAAAGTAAGAAACCCTAAGAGTGTCTTTAAAAATGTCCTGGCCTAAGATACGGGATTTGTCCCTTAGACTTCAGTTATGTTCTTAAAAAAAAAAATCCTTGCTAATATATGGTCTTTTCCCCCACTTAGGAATGCTTCTGATATAATTCTGCATCATTACAAATCCAGTGAACAGAGAAAACATGTTTCTCTGATGTTATGGGAACAGTGCTTGGTCCTATGGGCTGGAGTTCTGTGGTAATTGAGTCCAGTAATTGTGCTTTCTTACAGAAAGGAATCACATTTCAGTTCTGTCTGCAACACAACTGCAAATCCATTTATCATGCAGCAAGAATACCCTTTTACTAAGGGTTACTGCAGTTTGGTTAGTGCATCATTGGCCATGTAGGGATGTGAGGTAGACAGACGGAATGCCTAAGTTAAACATATTTTCAGGAGGAAGAGAAAGATGGATTAAGGAAAAGTCAACTGTTTTAAGTTCAATAGTCTGTAATAAGCACTGGAGAAAGTTATTGGTATTTTTGATCTACTTAATAGATCCTTTAACACAGAAACTAATCCCTACCTGTTGCATTTCTGTTCTTTCTACCGTGGTGGTATTCAGTCTTCTCTCATCACTAGGAATTTAAACAGGGACACTTGACAGATGTGTCTTCACAGAGGGGAGCATCCAGACACAATACCCAGTTAGAACAGCAAACTAAAATTCACTAGGATTCATTACGGACTTTAGCTTTTGGAGTGTGGTTCAATAAGAAGCCAGCTGATCTGCTGTGGTGAAAGTGGGCAGTTCCGATATGGCCCCATTCCAAAAGTTCCCAGGAGGGAGAGCTGTGCGCTTTTTATAGCAAAGAGCTTTAGGTAAGTTCAGCCACATCATCTAACTATACCCTGTGATTTACAGGACTTCAGAAACTTCCATTTCATAGCACTTTGCCCTCCTCAAGAGGTCTGCAGAAAGAGAATGGCATCAAACAGGATGGATTTACTACGTTTGCAAGAACTAAAGAGAAGCTTAGAAGTTTAAGCATCTCTAAACCTGTTTAAGGCTTTTCATCAGCAATTCTGTAACTTTGATCCAAAACCGAAATTACAGCCAACTGTTGCTTCTGAAGGAAAACACTCACCTGGCTTTAAGTAACCAGTTTATTCTTTTTGTAGCCTTCCTTTACCTTTAGAGCCTGCTGCTTTGCCCTGATGCGGTCATTTACATTGTAGAGGAAGAGTAAGTTAAGGAGACTGTTAAAATGAAACAAGCTGAAACTTCTCAGGAGTAAGCAACTGAAGTTGAGTAACCCAACAGAGCATTGTGTGATGCTTTCCCCAACAAGAAAAAAAAAAAAAAAAAGGGCAAAACTTGAAATAGCAAGATGTGTCTTGAATTGTATGTTGCAGCATAGCTTTGCCCTATCCACAGTTCTTTTCATCACCATTGACAGAAGAACAGGACCCTAGAGACAAAAACTTCTATACTTTCTGCAGTTCATAATGCTACAGTCAAACTTCTAAGTGCACCATAATTTACTGTTAAATAATAGGTCTGAATTACCTCTGCATCAGCAAGCAAGTGCCATTTGCTTTCCTTCTATAATCTGAGAGGGTGTCAGAGCGCCCAGGTCTTTTCTTACTGAGGTTTTGTAGTAAGAGAACTGACATACAGCACTTTTCAACCATAGTTCAAGTGCTTTTCTAAAATGTAGCATTATTATCTCAAAAGATATGGAGGACAGAGGTCATGTGGACTTGCCCTATTTCCCAATATACATCACCAACAGAGGCTGGAATAGCCATCAGAGAGCTATTTGCCTTTGTTTTATTTTTAATAAGGTCTGTTTCCGGAAGAAGAAAAATGGAAGCTAAAAGCAAACTTCTTAATCATATAGGAGATGGTGAATCCTATGTTCCTTATTCATTCAGACTGGTTTTCTTGTGTAGCCAGTGCCAGATTTCCTTCCCCCCCCTTTATTTTGTAAAGTGAATGATAACAGGATTTTTATAATAGCTTTTGTCTATGGCATAGCCTTTATCAGTGAGATGGAGGTTTTCCATTAGTTCTGGCTGTGGGTGCTGGCTGCATATAATGTACAGAGAAGGGGTGGCTGCATCTCCAACTCTTCTTCTGGTGTGCAATGAAACACAACCCTGCATTGTGCATGCCTCAATCCTGTTTTCCTTGTCAACACAAGTAGCAGATTCAGGTATGTGAGGAAGGTCACTGAAGACCCATGTGCAAGCAACAGGCCTGGACTCCAGGGTGAATGTTCTATGGTATGGAAAGATCACTGCCAGCCACTCTTCTCCAAACACCACCCTGTCCTTCCAAAGCCAAAACATGGGATATACTGCTGCAACCTTCCAGTATCTGAGATGTTACTGTTCTACTGTTCTAAGGGAGTGGAAGCCCTATTCTCAACAGTTTGGACACAAAAGACAGGAGGTGGAAACATGTCAATATGCAGTGTCAGTGGCACACTTCAAAGAAGGAGCTGTGCTATAATCATTTCCAGATAAAAGCACCACAGGACAAGGTGATGAGCAAGAGGCTGACGGTTCATTTTGGACTGCAGGTGCTACTGCACATTTCTCATTGCAAAATTACGTTGTGTCAAGGTTGCTGAAGATGTTATTCCCTTCTCTGAGGAATATAAAATACTGAAGTAAAAACTGCAGGAGGCCACCTTCTCTGCCAAAGCCAGCAGCTCTGCTCAGTGGAATACTAAGGCATTCAACGACTATCTTCACATGTGAACACTAAGAGTTCACATCTTCTAAGTAGTAGATCAGACTGACAAGTATCTCAGTGTCATCTTCCATTTCCCTGCCATTCCTAAAAATAGTCATGTGAATTTGTGCTTCTGTAAGCAAAATAATTTATTAACCTCAATGGGACCAGAATTTTACCTCAAATTGTTAACTACTTTCTATTTCCTTTGACATGTGGGCAGACTGAACAAGTGCTTGTGTGACTTAGCATGACTAGCAGGCCTGCCTCCTTCATTTTTCAAAAACAAGAAAGGATGCATCATGCATAAATTAGAGGGTTTTTCCTTCTTTTTGAATATAATAAATGCAGCAGGCTCCCAGCACATGCATCTCTAATCAAATGTGTTAAAGTATAACCTTAAAATGAGAAGGCATATGCCCCTGCTGAATATATATTTATGGAGGCATATGCAACGTTGTGAAAACTGGCAATTACCTCTTTTGACAGTGAACATTGGCAGGAGTGCTAAGCTCCATAATGTACTATCCCTGTAATGTAAAAAGAGCTTGAATACAAGATGAACTTATTTCCTATTTCTGGCCAATTAAAAAGCACATACACAATGTCCTATCTTCTTCCACTAACTATAAATAACAAACATCCACCAGGCTTACTTGCTTACATGTTCTAGTTCTCCGACTCTTTATTTGTGTCTTTAAATTACACACAGCACATAGAAGGGATTGTCTCATTTCTTTAAGCATAGCACTCCTAGCAAAGTGTCTTCCCGTCCAAACTGGCCTGTGATACATAATCTCAGACTCCCTCCTAGCTCCTTAAAGGAATCTCTTTCTGTAAAGTATGGTTCTCATTTATGTTTTATTTTTTATTTTTAGCATCTAACTCACCAAAATAACAAAAAATCTGCATGTAGGCTTAGCCAATTCTGAAAGTGTTAAACTATTTCAGTCTTGTGCATGTATCTACCTTTAATCACACGGCCATCTGGATTAACTACAAGCACAGCAACACGTGGAAGTAAACAAAGCCACATGTGCAAGTGTTTGCAAGCTCACAGCTCATTTTTTTGCTCAGTGACAGCATCACTTTCCAGTTGGCTTTGCTCTATGCTGTACCGATATCATGTCTGTTTTCTGTCACATCCTGCTGGCAAGAAGGCTCCATCCCGTTCTTGTGAAGTTGCTGGACCTTGGATACCCAAACCTGAGTTCTTGCAGGGCAGGACTGGAGCTGTGAGATGCACAGCTGAATGGGAAAGTGCCAGCAATTCAGGAACTCCAACTGAATACTGACTTGCGCTGCCTTAGCAAAAGGCATGGTAAGAACAACAAAACGGCCCTCTGTCCTCTACCCTCACCTCTCATAGCATTTCTTTATCTTCATGTGATACATGACATGTGCTTAGGATATCCAAAGGGTAAAATGAGTTCCTCCAGGAGGCAGATACTCCCAGGTGTCTCTCTTGTCTGTGGAATGAACTGCAGGGACTGCGGGCACTCCAGAACTTCCACATTTTTTCTTGATATTGCCTTCTGGAGTGTATACAGTTGATCAAAA